TCCCAACGTTGGGAGGCATTTCTCCACCCAGAGAATTTGGAAGTTGAGCAGGGATTCAACCCAAAGTCATTTCTGGATCTACTTAACCCATAATATGCAGACTCACAGAGTTGGAAGGGGCCTTGGAGGTCTTCTAGTCCAACCCTCTGCTCAGGCAGGAGACCCCAAAATCATTCCAGACAAATGGTTGCCCAATCTCTTCTTTGAAACCTCCAGTATTGGAGCAACCACAGCTTCTGGTGGCAAGTCGTTCCACTGGTTAATTGTCCCCCACTGTCAGGAAATTTCTCCTTAGTTCTAGGTTGCTTCTCTCCTTGATTAGTTTCCATCCGTGTCGCGTGTTGTCCTGGCATAAATTCCAGCCCCTGTGATTGAATCAGGAGTGGCCAAGGACTCCGATTAGGTCAAAAAGGGACGATCCTGGATTTCAAAGATGACAGAGACGAGGCGGCTAACCTCGAAGGGCTGACCTCTCTGTTCCTCTTCTTTCTTCCAACCCTTTGGGTGGGTGGGGGTTTCCCACCTTGAGCCAGGGATTGTTCAAGAATAAATAGAAATAAAACATATTTATTCCTCAAAGCAAAAAGAATCGTCCTTTAGAGGGGTCATGGGGAAAACAGCCGATCTTTAGAGGGGGAGCTGGAAGTGTCTGCTTGCTGGTTCTAGGGAGGTGTGTGTGTGTGTGTGTGTGTGTGTGTGTGTGTGTGTGTGTGTGTGCGTGCGTGCTTGTTCTTGTGAACCTGCAGCTCCTCTGGGAAACCTAATTCATTTAACTCCGTGTTTGCAGACCATTTCCTTTGATATGCGGATTAGGTCCGGGTAACTTATTTGGGTTTTTTTTGAGGAAGTTCAAGTAACGGATCCCCCCCCCCAAACAACCTCCCATTTTCTGCTTTTACTTGATTCATTTATTCATCCCGACCGTCAATTGTCTCATAGAGACCCCCGATTCGCAAAGCCGTTTGGGGGATTTATGTTAACATTTAACAGGAAGATTAAAAACGGCGCCGAGACTAAAATCCATGTTGATATCAAACTTCCTTCCCACCCCACCCGTGCCATCCGTAGCCCTGCCCGTGGGACGCCCGAATCATGAGGGCAGAGGTATGGATCTTCCAATTTGCCCTGGGCTGCTGGACGTCGCTTGCTCTGCGCCAGGAACTCGCGGCTGGCGAACACAACGAGGAGGCCACGCCCAGCCGATTCTCCGACGCGGACAGGAAGGCCACGCCCAGCCGAGTGCGACGTAGGGGCCACCACGAGACCTTGCGTGGGTAAGTCCTTTCGTCCTGCTTCCCTTTCGGATCCGTACGGGGCGGTGGGGGGGGGTCCGTGGCTGGAGGTTTCCGCAAGGGAAGATTCGGTTGGGGGCTGGACTAGATGACCCTCTGGGTCCCTTCCCCGATTCCCCAGCCCTCCCATCTCCTCGGGAAAGGGAGAATTAGAAAAAGAAAAGAAAGGAGAAACCGGCTTCGTAGAATATTGGTAGCTCGGGGTCAACAACCCTGAAAAAAGCGACTTACGACCATGTTTCACACTTGCGACTATCGTAACAACCATGTGGTCGCATGGTCAGTCACCCAGCATTTATCTATAATAGCCCAGAGTTGCGTAATCACCACTGGGGACTTTCCCAAGCGGCTTCCGACAAGCAGTGTCAAAAGCGGGGAAGCGGGGTTCATTTAATGACCCCACGATTCACTTAATGACTGCAGGGATTCTCTTAAGAACCGTGGCCAAAGAAGGTCCCAAAATCGGGTGTGACTCACTCACAATCACCTCGCTTAGCAGTGGAAATCCTGCTTCCTAGTGGCCAAGGAGGGCCTTTCCCCTTTGTTTCAAAGCGTGAGGACTAGAACCTTGCTGATGTTTTTAAGGGGAGACCCACAAAATCCTTATTCTGTGTGCAGAACGTCCATGTTCCGACCCAGCACCCCAAACACGATCGAGCTCCAGCAAAAGGTTTCTCTCTCACTGTCCGGCGGGAGATGAATCGTTGTCTGCCACATCTGTTCATCTCCTCCCCCCTGCCTTTGACCCCCAGAGCTCGGGTGGGGCTGTCGGGGTTCCAAATAGCACCCCAAATTAAACCAGAGTCCATCCCATGGTCCAATCTCCCACTGCCACAAAGACAGAGTCCACCCATCCAGTTCCGGTCAGGTGCAGAGACGCAGAGACGAAGGATCACCTTGGATTTCTAGAAAGAATGTTGTTATGGCTACATGGCATCTAACTCGGTACAATCCCATTTTCCCACCATAGAAAAGGCATAGCAGAAGAATAGAAAGTGCGAAAAACTCAAAAGAAAAGATGGCTGCAGGCCTTACAGGAGCCACACTAGCATCTCTCTCCCTCTCCCCCCTTCTCTCTCCACCCCCCCCCCCTTCTCTGCCAGCTCCATTCCTTCTTCCCCCTCGGAGCTCTCCGGTTTCCCTCCCACGCCTCCCCCTCCTGATTCGGCTGCTGGACGGGCCAGAACAATCCAGCCATAGATTCTCAACAGCCCCCCCCAGAGGGGCTGAAAACTTTCCTAGCCCCCTCCCTCATCGTAATCAGCCAATTGAGTTAGGTCACGCGATGATTCTGAGGGCATCAGGGGTGTCTTTGGATGCCCGCCATCCAACGGGGAACAAGGGGAGGGGGAAGTTCATCACCAGCTGGGGGAGGTGGGAAAATGCGCCCCCACTGTAGGGGGGGGAACTAAGCCAGCCCACACAGGGGGGCGATGTGGACGGCTTGAACCCAA